ATTTACCTTTTCTGGTCTCAGTTTCAACATTATCAAAGGCCCAATAAATCCTTTAGGATTTTTGTGAGGTTCCCTTGGTAAAGTACATGTGGAAACTGTGAACCTCTTCAAACATAAGTAGGGTGACAGTGGTGACAGTGGTGACAGTGGTGAGTGATGACTTGGGTGTGTCCTGAACTTTGACAGGTAGTGGTAGATGGAGATGGGGGGCCAAGGCATGTAAGGAATAAAGTATCAGGAATGCCAGGAAAGGTGAGTAGGAGAGGAGGTACAGTTGAAGAGTGGGAGGTCCACCTGCACTACAGGGAATTGTAGGCTAGCTTGAGTTTCATGCTATGGAAATTTTTTCCTTTTTTTAGTAGGATGGAGTCATGCTCTCTCTAACTCAGACCTCAGGAGCACTTTGGAAAATTTTTCTCAGCATTTAAGTTGACATTGGCTCAGAGGGAAATTCAGGTCCTAAAGTCTAGTTAGTAATCCACTGCAATGATTTAGATGAAAGGCAATTAGGGCTACTTTGGTGGTATTAGGAATTTTAACTGCCCCCCTCAAAAACCTAGTTTTGGGTGATAGTTTGGGGTGTGAGCCTAGGAAACTAGATCACCTATTATATCCAAGGAGTGATGGAGATGAAAGAATCAAAAATGACTTCAGAGTGGCCAAGAAAACATTGTTGCTCCCAGATTACTCGGGAGAGTGGTAAGGTGGATGAAGTTGCCCAGGGCAGAAAGAGCGTAGAAAGAAGACCACTTGGGAAAAGATAATAAACTCAACTTCAGGTAAGCTGAGAATGAGGTATCTGTTGGAATCCAGAGCTGCCTGGTATGCAGCTGTCAGGAATAGTCTGGAGATCAGCAGAGAGGTTTGGACTGAGGAAACTGTGAGCTCTTGGTACATCCAAGTCAAGTGGAAATATAGGAGTAACGAGATGATCCATGGATGTCTTATAAAATGAGAAAAGAAAGTGAATATAGGAAGAGGAGGTAGAAAATGATTGACAAGGAATAGAGAGGTAGGAGGAGAACCAGGGATGAAGCAGTTTCAGGAGTTTCAAGAGGAGAGTGGTCAACTGTGATCAGTTCTGCAGAAAACAAGCGAACCATGACATCTATATACAAATAACACATGCATGAAAGGTAAGTTGCAAAAACTCAAAGTTTTTTGTTGAGGTGAGAGATTAAGTGTGACGCTTACAATTAACAAAATGTCTGAAAATTAATAAGATGTCTTTAATGATGGCAGAGAGAAGAGCTTGTTGATTTGGAAAGTTGCTTGTGGCTTCTGAGAGAACATGGAGGTAGGGGTGGGGGGCAGAAGTCTGTGGAAGAGTCCAACGAAATGAAAGAGAGATGTAAAATGAGGCAAATCAATAAATTGTTTAACACTAAAGCCGCAGACTAGCTAAAGCCAGGATTGCTAAAATTAGTTCATAGATCCACGTCTGTGCTAAAGGAAGCAACACTCTCTAAAAACATTCATTAAGCCACTTGTCTACCTCATTTCAGTTATAGAAATTCAAAGTCAAATCAGAATTCAGCAGCCTAGACCTTGCCATAGGCTTCTAGGTGTTGATGGAATTTCTTTTCTGAAACGTTTGGGACTAAGCCTCATAAAGTCCAGCACTGAGAATAATTCCAAGTCAGGCCCTTCCTAAACGGCATTCATTCTCCAAAAACGTAGGTACCTCTCTCACTTTTGCTTTCCCCCAAGAAGTTTGTAAAGTCCTAGTGTTCTTGGATACTTAAGGAAGACAGGGGAGGTTGTATCAACAAAGTAACGCAAAGTTTTGGGTGGAGGACAGAACGTAACCCTTGGTGGAATACATGCCACCGCATATTTCTGGTTTAGCACTACTGACATCAGAGGATCATCTAGATTTTAGAGATGGAAGGTACATTAGGCTCACTTTAGTTCAACCTTCTCATTTACAGAAAGGAAACCAAAAGGGAAAGTAACTTGCTCAGGACACATGGAAGGCTTTTTGGCCAAGCCTGATGAATAGACTCTGGTCTCTTGACTTCTTTGCCCCAGTCATCTTTTCACTATTTGTAAACGCATCCAAAATGAAAATATAGGTGCAGGAAGTGAACTCAGTTCTTATATACACACTTGCTTGTTTTAATTAGCATTCTCCAATTTCCTCCCTGAAAATTCAGGCTCAAGAAGTGCAAAGGCTAAAATGTTGGAAATTTATTTGTTCTTTAAAAAAAGCACTCTCATAACATCTCTCTCTCCTGCTGCCATCCCTCTCCACCATCCTCTGACAATTCCATAACAAAAATGGCTTTGACTTATATTGGCCCAGAGAGGTCACCATCGACTCTACAATTATATAACCTTCAACAGAACATATTCTCATACTGAGCAAAACCCAAATGAGTTTACAGTGGGCTGTGCTGCCTGATAGGGAAGACAAATTTCCCTGCTGGGAATCTTCAGATGCTCTGAATGAGAGCTCAGATACACAGATTCCTCCTCACTTTGAGTGGTGTGTGTGTGTGGTGTGTGTGTGTGGTGTGTGCGTGTGCGGCGCACGGCATGCAATGCATGCACAATGTTGAGGGATGCTTCAAAGAGTCTCAGCCATTCTCTATCAATTCTCCTGATTCTTTCCACCACAAACCCTGCTCCCTAGTCCCACCTGACTGTCATGGCTATGTAGTGACTCTTCCACTACTCCTCTCTTGTTGATGCCCCCATCCCATCTGCTCAGTGACCATTCAAGGCAGAACTGACAAAGAAGTGCACTTTGCAAGACCAGTCTAATGGACAAGTGTCTGATTCCTTTGTCAGGAGATAGGACCAAGAATTCCCTAGCAGGGATGAACTGACGGATTATGGGATCACAGGTTTTTGAAAACTCTTTGCTCTGTG